CTATAGATGTTTAAATTAACGTCCGAGCAGGCGAAGATAGACTTTTTTTCTGGGTGATCCGTAAAAATTCGTAACACATCCAAACGTAAAACTTTAAGTAAGACTAAAGTCTTATTGAAAGTTTATTCGAAGTTATTCGATTGCGCAGCAAAACAGCTACTATAAACTAACTCAAAACATATTTTCGAAAAAATATTCTTAGTGCATAGTAGACAAGGAGTCCCATGATCGGTTAAGGAACTGAAACAATAGATAGTTTTCTAAGTTTTTTTTTTCTATGTAATCTATAGATTTTAAAAAAATTGTATGGAACGGATGACACAACGACCACCTTTTTGACCTTTTCTAATCTCAGTTTCTCAGCAAAATCCATCATTTTTCTATTAAAGTAAATTATTTTTCTAAGCTACTGTTGGTGTTTGCTATAGCTCAAACATGGTTATTGACTCGTTACATATTTTTTTCATAGTCGCTATTAGTCATGCAACGATTGAAAGTTATACCAAAAAACTAAAAAGGATGTCGGGATTTCCTTTCCTCTCAATAATGTCTTTGGCCTACTCTGTACTTTATAAATACAAGATTTAGCAATAACACTTCGCCGGACTTTCCGATGGCCCAAGTTGCTTCCTCCCAAATCGATCAGTGCATTAAAAACACAAACAAATCGTTACAGGCACATCTAAGTGTGGGATCCACGGGCACTTTATTATAATTTCTTTTCATACGTTTGACTACAGCATGTTAATTTGTAATATCTCGTACGATCTGCTTGCGTAGGTCAATCAGTCTTTCGTCTAGCAAATGTATCCCACCAACACACGTAATGAACAGTCCTCCACTCAAGCGCTTTCAACGAAATCATATTTTATGGTAAAGGCTGCGATTTATTTCGAAAATTAGATGTCGGGTAGCGGCGCACTTAGAGGAAAAATCGTCTTCTCGATGTTTCCATTTCATGTCGTTTGAGAATCCACTCGTATTCCCCGTATTTCGAGTCGAACGTACCCTTTTGAAGGCTTTGCAACTTAAGGGTGAATCGCGGGCCTATCTCCTGAAGGCGGCACCTCTGTCCATTAGAATCAAATTCATAACGATGGTGTCTAAAATGGCAAAGTACCATAAAGAACAACACGGGTAAGCCGACGTTAGTTTATGTTCAACGCGACCACATCAATCGTAAAAGATTAGTTATCTGTGGTTATAAGTTATAACTGGAAGAACACGTTTTAATTCTTTGCACATAGTTAAATGCCAGCAATAAAAAAAAAGCTCACATAAAAGGAGATTGTAACAGATCCAGATGTCACTTAATCACGCCGATAGAGACCCCCTCTAAATGGAGTTTGCCGATAATAAGGTATACTATTTTGTTTTGATAATTTGATATCATAGAATGTATATATGTGTATATATATTATAGGTTAAACTGATCCACTGCGAGTTGCCCTTACTACACCTTATATTCTTTCTTTCTTTATTTTACATATGAAATAACTATACGTGTCGCGTAAGTTCCGTCATCTGTTAAAATCGCCCAATATTTCGCGACTCTTCATCCGCTTCTCCGTATTTCAAATATGAATTCCAATACATTTAATAATGTATTTCGATAGATGCCAGTTCCTTAAAAATAAACCTTATATAAATTAAATTAATGTTACCGGAAGGGGCGCAATGAGAATTAGTATTGCGCCACTGAAAAATGAAGTTATTTACTGAGTCATACGATACTGCAAATAGCACCTATCCCATTGTTACTATCTACTATGCTTACCTGAAGAAAATGAAATCTCGTTGATTATGAAACGTTATAATGCGTCGTCCATGAAATTCGGGATTGTAATGAAATAAAGCCGCCAACATCCGAGATACAGTGTGACCTAGTCTAGTGCCGAAATTATTTAGCAGCACTTCCGGCCTGTGTGGAGTAAACTGTGCGGCCTTCTTTATCTGTTTCATGTGTTTCACCGAACTTAGCTTGTAGTATGCCGTCGGACCGTCTGGCAGATGGATCACCAACAGGCCACTGGGTGCTCCACGATGCTCGTTAATGACTGAGCATAGGAAAACAATAAGGATTTAGATAACGGGGAGCAGTAGTAAGGAATGAAGTAATTGGCTCAGGATAGCACGATAATCACCAGAACGATGCAGTGGTAACAAGCTGGCTTTATGAAGTTAGGAATATACGGGTTTCAAGTTAGGTATAGACATGTTCCGTTTTGTTTCGGAAGGAACCAGCCATCCGAAGCAATGCCTAGCTGAGGCAGCACCGAACGAAAAACTCGAAATAATTCTCACTCAGTTATTTCATAAGCAATTCTTCTATAAGCATAAGCCATAATAACACATCGACGTATCTGATATTACGTAACAGTACATTAAAATATTTAATATTTCTATTAGCGTCAATCATATTGTAAAATATATGTATGTAAAATAGATTAATGTATCAGTTTTTATTATGCGATCGTAGTATAAAAATTATAGTGCTCTGTTTACAAAAGCCATAACTCAAGAAAATTTTAACTTGATATTCGTAATGTCTGTTCTAGTTAATTCCTACCTTTATCCTTTTTAATTCCTTGTAATAAAAGAGAATCGATTTACGACGTCGTAAGCCTAATCCAAAAATCGTAGAATTAAATAATAATCTTTAACTTTACTTAATTTATACTTTTTTTTTAACAAGTGTATTCATTTTACACTCAGATACATGAGTCACGTTTAAAACAAATGAGCCGTCATAAACGTTAGGCTTTAGAAAAGAAACAAACCGGTAAGTACCTAGAAAATCTGTAAATCCTTTCTCGACAGCCTGCGGAACTGTTTTCTTGATGTGCGCGTAGTTGCGGTAATGAAACTCTGCGTTGGGAAGCACGAGTTCAAGTTCCCTGCAGAATCTAATCGTAGAGCCGCGAGGCTTGTCCACTGTCGTGATGAGAATCTTCGGTAGATACTCCCTTGCAAAGTACGAAGCAAATTCGTCGGTCAGGTTGTCAAGATTCACTTCCTCATCGCCCGGTTGTAACATAGTCTCATCTGGTTCTCGGGTGTTCTCTAGGGTACGCGGAATTTGCTTTGGTGGAGCCTAAAAACGTGATAAATCAATTACAATATAACACTATAATTTGAAATGGGACAGATCTTTCGCACAAAAATGAGACGGGGTAAAGCAGATTGGATAATCGCAGATCATTATCGTATCGGTCCACTAACATCCTACGTATGTTTTTATATGCGATTAGTGTTCGACCTATACTCTCTGTATCAAAAAAAGGGTACAAAAGATTGTGCCGGAGTGGCGTTACACGTTTCCATGAGATTTTTCGAAAAACGGCTTTACAACACGTCTTCATTACAGGACTCATCTTAGGACGTCTTCATAATTAGTTACGTAACACCTGACGAATCCCCCTAAGCCGGAACCCGTTCTATCGAATTTTGAATTCTAAAAAAATAGGATGCAATTCTCGTATATACGAAATGGAATAAACTTTAAATGCTGATTTTCATTTTCTCCCACTTCCCGTATCCGCTAATAGTCCTTGCGGATTTTACAATCCAGTGATAATATTGCCTGTTCCAGGAGGGCTGACTTACGACTGGCTATGCTGAATGCGTATTAAATATAATATCACATTATTCGCTTCTAACTAAAAACACAGCTAGGGGTTTGGTGTCAATGTAGGTATGAACCTTCTCGTTGTTTCGTTCAGGTACAAAGGTTCTACTCCGAAAAGTCTTGGTGGTTTCCACACTTGCTTTCCTTTCCTTGTGTATAAGTCGTTACTCTGACTAGAATAACGACATTCGAGGTATACATACAACAAGCATAATCCATTAGTTCACAAAGCAACAAAGATATGAGATTTACTGATCCATTGCCGCCAAACGATGAACTTAATAGAATAGTTATTACATTCATCCTCAAGTATATTCACAACGTCTGCTTTCGACAGTTCTAAATGCCCCGAAATCAACGTCAGTTTTACCATCAAACGTTGCTTCAAACGGTTAGCCCCTCAGCACAAACAAATTATGTTCAATTGGCAGGTGTTCAGTCGTGATGGTAATGAGGGTGGTTGCGTCACGCCAAAGATATCTTTAATTGAACACCATTATACCTAGTGATTTTACGAGACCGATTACTTGGTTTCGTAACACGTTTGTGGTCTTTCTACAAACGGGCAGTTCTATTTGAATTTAATCGCAAAAAAAATTGAAACCCTCAATCTGTGATGATATCTGCGTTGTACTGAAGTTTTCGGAACGTTTGACTGTGAAGAAAGGTAAGTTCCATATACAAAGTGGTTTTCTTAATTTAAGATTTAAGCGTGATTGGTCCCAATTACTTGAGTTTATTACAAGAATCAATTTCACCACGCAGCGGACCTATTTTTTTTAGGGATGGAGCATTTACAAATTATCATTGTGACGTAAGAGCATATATTGACAAGGATATTTCAAACAGATGTCTTGCATAAAAAGATCCCATAGAATGTCTTCCCGTTCCCTAGACGTAATGCCAATGCACTTTAAAATACACCTTAGATATATGGTCTATAACAGAAAGCCGACGACACTAAAAATCCTCAAGTGAATTTACAGATCAATGACCCAGCGTTATCCGCAACACATTGACATAAGGATGATAATTTTAAACACCTGCGGCGGAGGAAAGTTACATATTTTATGTAGAACCTTCCGCAGTTTTTGAATAAAACGCATAATTATTTAAACGGTGTATGTATATGTTGTATCCAGAAAGCTTTGCTCGCAGTCTAAATTTTGCGTGAATCAAGATACGCGATTATAAGATATAAGCTGGTTACGATAAAACGGGGAGCTTTCAAATCATGTTCGAGGCCTTCTCCGCTTACAAGTATAGCATAGTGGCTCAAACGCTCAATACAGTTTGACTGTGTAATTATTTCGGCATGTAAACATCTTTCTCTCTAATCATGCAAGAGTTTTTTCTATACCGATCTAAAAGCACACTTTAGATTACTCTTCCTTTAAATTAATGACCGCTTTGAAGACAGAGCTGCTCACAGTCTTGAACAGCTAGAGTGTACCTACTTGTATACAATAACAATCAGGCGTAGGAATCTGTTCACCTACATGGTAAAGCAAAAAGAGTGGCTTTGGTCCATCTTTGAACTGTACCATTTTAATTTCCATTCATTTGGAAACTTAAAAGGAAAAGTTTTGGAAAGATCTGATTGAATGTTGTATGCTGGGTAACGAGTTGGTCTTCACTGCAAGACAGGCTTAAGGATGTAAATAAAATGGTAAATCTTAGTACTGGAAACAATTTTTTTATAAAGCAACTTTAGGAGACCCACTTTGGGCCCAGCTAAAAAAAAACGTCTTACGTAAGAATCTGTGTGTAATATGACGTTACACGTATTCGTTTGCCAAACGTTGATTCATTCAACTGTTGCTAGCGCGCGTACCCAGTGTGGCCGAGGTTACTGAACAGCATTTGGGACGAAAACTGTGTTCTGCGATCATTCGACCGCTTAAATACGACGTAGTCATGAACAGGGTTCTGTTACACTTTACCGACACTCGAGCTCTCGGCAAATGTATGATACACTCTCGTATCACATCTAATATTCGAGAACGTTCTGGTAGTTCCTTAGGCAAAAATCTTCCAATTCAAGATTTATTATATGATATATTTTAAACCATATGAGCTAAATATGTACATTGTCAAAAATAAACCATACCATTCCTTTTCTACATGATGATATACAATGCCATAATCATTCGCGGAAATGCGTACCTCAACATTCCTTTATGAAATCGATTGGCCCCCTCCAATACGAAGGTTCGAATCTTTAGAAAACACGAACACTCGAGGTTTTCGCGCCTAAACGCTGTTGTGACTCGTTTATCGCTTTCACCTAAGCCTTCCCTTTCCCTCTTTTTGTCCACTAAGGTGGCAAGAGCGGTCACAGCAGCGGCGTGTCAGCGTAGATTGAATAACTCTTCTGTGCGCGAAATGAACAGATCCGATTGGAATACAGTCGGGAAGCTTCTTTGCTTGATCCTTCATATTTTGACCCTGCCTCGTCGCCCTCTTTTGTGAAATTTTCTTCCTGTGTGTGCACTATTACGATTGGACTGTCGCAACCAAAACGCCGTAGCTCTACAAGAACTGACACAACGCCAACGACACTGATAGGCAGCTCACTTCCGAACGCACTAGACAACAAAATTTGTTGCTCCTACTGCTAAGATTACTACCGCCGATTAATAAGCCCTACCAATAGACCAATTGTCACAGCTCCGCCATTATAATGACGCCGGCAACATCAGCGGCACCGTAGTAGCCGAGGCCCACTGCTACCTTGAGTAAGAGAAAGAAGCCCGTATTAGGCTATGTACCGTACCGGCTAAGGGTGCTCAAAGAATAACCGTACAGTATCATCGAAGGGACGGTGGAGTGTAATAGTGTTCCAAAGTGGAAACAACCAGCCTTTGTAACACCGGAAATAGCTCTGATGGTAAGATCTATGCATTGTACCTTCTTGTTCCGAGGTAGCTATAGTTGCTACGCCCACATGTACATTTCTAAATACTAGTGAATCTGTGTCAGCGTGTGTTGTAGTTACCAGTCGAGTGAGAATTGGACGACCAGTGCAAATTCCTGGCCCTTGTGTACAGCTCTGGAGTCGGCGGTCCCGCTCAACAAGGGCTTATTAAAAGATTGTCTCTTCTTATGAATTAGCGATATAAACGTGGAAAATAGTTTAGTCTGTTACTCTTATGATCGACTATTTTATATACGGTACAGCTCCAACCAATTGGATAGTGTGGCCATGAAACGAGGGCCAGTAGCAACTAAGTTACTGAAGATATGTTCGTTCTTATTGTTATTTGAGACCGTTGGCAGTTCAACACATTTCTAGTTATCAAAGTGCATCGTTCATGTAGAAAGTATTATGTTCATTAATTCATGTAAATGTTATCAAACACAAGCATTTGACAGTTCGAACTTAACGCCGAGTAAGTGAGATCGTACGAGGTTAAATTTCGAAAGACTACGCTACCACGTCTATTTCTTTACGAATATACGTATTCCTCTTAGGGCAATAGATTTCCATTTTGTTAACGTGTGCGTTGATCTCATAAATATATGGACACAAGCGGTTTATCAGATAGATACAACAAGAAAGAGGTGCTTGCGTAAGATATTATTTGAAACCATAACTACTTCAGCGGATTAACAACCATTAGCAACAGCTAGAAGGACCGCATTTTGCTTGTTGCCGTTATTGCGGGACCACAACAATACCACTAAGTATGAATGAGAATGACAGTATAGCCAAAAATGGATTTTTTGCTTCGGTTGTGACATAAATTGTCACGAAGCGCGCTACCACCTAAAGTTCTATAGCCGTGGAAAAAAACAGGTGCCTTACACAAACAATTGTTGAATACCTTTTACTCTAAGGACATAAGTAACTGTACCAGCTTTTGGTCCTCTTCTTCCTCTTCTATTTGTCAGAATCCGAGTTTACTAAGAACTGTATGTATTATGAAATTGACAGTATTTACGTAATGGTTCTAGGCGAAGATGTTGTTTTATGAATACTGTCTATCTCAAATAACCCACAGACGTTGTGTAACGAGAACAACCGTAGTACGTTATATGGCTACTTAATCGTACACTGAGCCGTCAGGAAGAAAGCCAGGCCAGGTTGCAATTTTTGTCTTTATAGTCTTTCAACTAAGATTTTTACAATTGACTATTCCACTAGAGGTGACCATAGGTGACTATAGGTTCTGTTAGAGAAGACTGATTGCGCTCAGTGCAACCCGCCCTTATGTGTACTCGAACCCTGATTTGTGTCACTGAATAAAGGAAACGTCATAGCAATCTACTAATGTTTAGTATTGTTAAGAGCATGTTATGCGGCCACACTTTACAGCTGAAGTCTTCATCTGCCGCTATGAAATTTTCACCCATTGAGCCCTAGTCACCTTCATATCCGTGGAACTGACTCCCATATTACTTCAAAGCAAACCTTACAGCGCGTTCCGATGGATTTGCGCGTGTGCACTAGCCAAGGTGATCTAATACGCACTGAGGTTGGCTCAACTGATAGCGAAAAATGCCAGCTTCGAACGCCGGTGGTGCAAGTCGGAGGCAACGGCTGAAAATTCGAGCATAAACGCCTTTGATTCGAATCTTATGGGCTTAATAAGTAATCTAATCGTTTTGTTTATAATTTTGCTAGTCGATTCGGCTTTAATTCCTATACCCAGCATATCATTGCTATTCTGAATAGCTAGGAATAAACAGTTGGAACGCTGCTACGGCTAACGCTTTGTGGTAATGTTTACAAATTAGTCTGTCTGACAAATCGTATATCTAACCTCAATGACCATCAGATGTTAATGGAAGCCATAGCGGCATCGAAATGTGTCCATTACTGAGAAGCCAATGATTTCGCTGAGCATCTTTTACGAAGTAATTAGGTTTTTCAATGGTCACTTCAAACTTATTATTACCGAATGTTTTTGATACTACATTAAAGTAATAAAGGGGCACCGATAATATATATCAGTGTTTTATGCATGCCATCAAACAGGGTTGCTTCAGTTTCCGTTAACAGATATAGTGAAGGTAAGAGTGCTCGCCCGATGTACGAATGGATGGACAGAAAAAAAAAACTGTGGATATGGCTATAAACGTCACTTTCTCACATTCCTAAAAGGAAATAAGGGTATTGTTTACACTCGCCATTTTTCTTACCCTCTTCTGCAAGTGAATCTACTTTGATACCTTATAATGGCAAGGGATATAATTCAATAGTTATTTGGAAAAGAGCAGCAAAGCTTGGGAGAGGCATAAAAATATCAGAATTTTTTCTCACTAAATCCTCTACTATTACAGGATGGGTTTGGAAAACGAAAACGAAGTTTATTCAAAAATCCCAAGAGTACTTTTAATTTTGACAGCAAAACATTGCTCCAACGTATTAGGTGCATTCATAAAAATCTGCTGCGCTATTGATTTCGCCTATTGATCATGGTCAATCAAGCCACGACTGTAAGTGCAATAGTGTTTTTATAAAAAGTAAGAAACAAATGCTTACGTGCCGTCCGTTACATCCGGTTGACAGCTGAACATCTTTCGCTTTTCTTCTAGGAGATTGCGTTGGTTTTCTAATCCCGTGAAATTCACATTTCGATTGGTCCCTGGCCCTGAATCGGTTTGTTTTTTCTAGTATAACAAAATGTGGTAAAATCTAACTGGAAGTTCTACCCTGTGTTCATTACAGGAGAAAACTATCAATTGTTCCGTTCATGGCGCTATGACGTTCTCTCAGCTGGCGGTGGCGATCATTGATTCACTCGAGTTTCAACGACTTCGGTGGATCGGTCAAGTTGGTGTAACCGACCATGTCTACCCTACAGCGACCCATTCCCGATTCGAACATTGCTTGGGAACGGCTCACCTAAGCAAGCTCTTTATCTCGGAAATCGCCCGCCGCCAACCTGAGTTGAATGTTTCCGAGCGGGAAATCCGTTGTATTACACTTGCCGGTCTATGTCATGACCTTGGTCATGGGCCATTCTCACATTTATGGGAGAAATTTTACAAGACAGCTGGCGAACAGGTTTACGGGAACAAGGATATTCAGTGGCACCACGAAAAAACGTCGGTACACATCTTTCGGCATCTATTAAGGCGCAACCGGATTCTCGAGCGTTTTCCAAACGAAATTAATGAGTCGGATGTTTACATGATTGAAAACTTAATTTTAGGCGAAGTTCCGAATAAAACAACGCGCCGTTTCCTCTACCAGATCGTAAATAATCCAGATTCCAAAATGGACGTTGACAAATGGGACTATTTTATGCGTGACGCGCAAAATCTTGGTATTAAAATTGACTTTGAGTACCAGCATGTACTGCGAAATCTCGAAGTACTTGAATACGAGGGAAGTTTGCATGTGTGCTTTCGTGACAAGTGCTACGACATAATACAACAGGCATTTGAAAACCGTTTCAAACTGCATAAAAGGGCCTACCAACATCACAAAGTGAAAATTATGGATGAAATGTTGATACAAGCTCTCCTTGAATTGGAACGAGGTGGCAAACTCGATGCCTGGGCAACAACTCACGCCATAGCCTGTGAACAGCCAACGGGACCAGCCTTAATGAAGTTTATAGAGTTGAGCGACCCAGCAATTAAAGTGGAACTCCGAAAGCATTCCGAGATTTATCGCGCAATGCTCGAACGTTCGACGAATATTCATATGTACCGTTACATTGGGAAGTTAAGCTTTGGCGAACAGGTAAAACGCGAGTTCCTCGCTAGTCTACCAAATTATAGTCTGCGACCTCAGGACGTAAGCCTTCTTGAGATTAATATCCACATGGGCAAAGAAGGAGACAACCCTATGAACCAGATTTTGTTCTTTAGAAAAGGTTCTACTCGCCCAGAACTTCTTGCTTCAGACAGTCGCCAGTTAAGTCAAGAGCGAAATTATGTAGTTGCTTTAAGGTGTTCTGACGCCGACATGCAGAAACGAGTAGAAAATGCTCTACGCAACTTCCAAAATGTTTTCTTCCATAACGTTGAAAACGCTCCGAGGCAAGTACCCGAATCCGACTAATGATTAAAGATGATACAATACAAAAGTGATACCGAAAGACGGAGGTACGCACAGAAATCTGTAACCGTCTGTAGTACAATCCGAACGGTTTACCAATAGATCATGGCAGTGAAAGGTGTGGATAACCGTGTGAAGTCCACGCTCAACTTTAAGTTCCACTTATTGCTTACCCTTAGAGCAAGCTAACCAGTTGATTCGATTGAAAACCTTACTTACTTTTGGCTACAGGCAGATGCTTTAAATATATACTTCTTGATCAAAGTATCAGAGGTGGTGATATCTAAGTACATGTCTGTTATGTAGACGTTTAACGAGCAGATGAGCAGTAAAATATTATTAATTCGTTCTGCTTTTTATATCAAAGCTAATTGCTATTCAAATGTTAGCGCTGTGCTGTTGACGCGTGTGAATGAACAAAAAGCAAGGCATGCAATGGACTTACGATGTCGTATGCACGAAAAACCGTAAATAACAACAAAAATAAGCAAAGCCATATATATATTCACCTACTTTTCTATATATATATATATATATATATATATATATATATATATATATATATATGCAAAAAAAAAATGGAAACAAAACATGTCACGACCAGCCAACTTAATTGTTACAGCTTAATAACTTTAATAAAGATAGTGAACATTGTAGGGCGTGGTAAAATATGGCTCTAATAATTCATTTTTATACTAATTGTCTCTTTTTTTTGTTACGGTAATTAACTTATCTCAGGTTTTTTAGCCGAAGTCTTGAGCTCTCTAGGCTTTTCTAGGATACTTCTAGATAAGTCGGAAGGGATTTGCATCAGATCATTGCAATCGTATTTTCTTCGAACGAAAACTAAAATCGAAGCGGAATTGCCATATTGCTTACGTTTTCACCGAGAGCTTTCGCTTCCTTCACTCTCCGCTGACGAGCCTCGCGCTGCTCCTGAAATTTGCAAAACAAAAAGGTTGCTAACTATTCAATTCATCACTTGAATGATTACGATTATCATATGAGTGTTAAGATAAAAGCGTGGTTGAGAAGCTCCATCGCGAGAGCAAACAAAAGTGCGCTGGATACCTACTTTTTTTGTATCGGGGAGATCATTAACAAGCATCCAACACTATAAATGTGATGGTCGACACATGCTTAGAGCTATGAAATGTAATTGGCCGCTAATAGTTCAAAATGGTCGAGTTGTTGCGGGACGTCTTTTGTTACAGATCTAAAGTCTACATGTGCTCATGCTTTATAGAAAAATAATGTCATGAGAAAGAAAAATTGATTGATTGCGTTGAAGCAGGCAATTCTCTATTACTTTTAATATAATATAATACACGACTAGCGAGGCAACTGGCGCAAACTCCATTCGCATTCATTTTGTTGTCATTTATATGTACCCTCATTTCAACCAGATTTGAAAATAATTGTAAGGTACTAAAATTGTTAGACAAGGTGTCGGCTGTTCATAGTTTGGCCTGATTGCGCAAAAGTGACTTCGCCAAAGGCACGTAATGTAATAAAGTCTTTATCGTTGAAGTGGGACCACGGTTAAAATCAACTACCTGCAAAAAGCTGATGTCATTCTGGTCCCCGATACCATAGTATTGACAACAAAACGTTCAAATAGTAGCGGTAGAATAGTAATATTAGTAGAAAAACGTATGAAGAAATAAAACAGAATTCAGTTATTCAATGACCCCAGTGGAACAAGAGTCAGGTGGGTAATTAACCAGACAGGAATGTTCATTGCATAGCTATAGAAATCAAGTGTGTCAAAAAAAGAACTGGGTGCTGTTATATGAAAAGCTAATCACGATAACTGAATTTTTTGCGAAATGTACGGAGGGTACAAATGCTTCAGCGAATTGAATGTGTTTTACAGCTGGCTTCCGTTGTGCACGGGGTTTCAGCCTTATTTCGTACAAGCACGAAGATGTGATAGCAATACATCATTTTTAAACTTATTATATCCTGGCTGAGTCTGACAAAAAGTGCGTAAGACCTAAACTATGAAAATGATCCATGTAGGTCCATGTAATCATGTATTTAACATATTAGTACAGGGTTATAGTTATTCACTATCACTAGTCAACATTGCTACTATCGTCCATTATTTTTTGGTTTTTGGCGGGTGTTTTTTTCTTTTCGTTAATGACAGACATGTATTTAAATTCAAATTGAATCGAAGTTTTCCTCCGCCATGGCGCCTCTTACCTTATTTTTTTGCTTTTTAAGCTTTAAATATATTTCCCGGCGCTTGGCCTTGTTGCGAATCTCCGAGATATTTTTAACCATTTGGTTTGCTGGATTGGGTCCAGGCCGGTTCCACTCAGTTGGCGGAGCATCCTCATCCTTTTCCTTATCTCTGTTACGCCGTCCCATATCCTCGTGTTGAGCTTAACTCTTGTTATTGTGGAAATTAGGCCACTACTACCGAAAAAATATAAGAAACTTCAACGTATCCCTTATACAAACAAATATTAAACACCGCTCGTGCCCGTTATCTTTAGTCAAACCTATTGACACAATCATACAATCACCAAAATTAGTTTGAAGATATATCGAAAGCACTGATACAAATCTGCAGTTATTATCTACGACTAAGACGACGGTATACTGACTTTATACAACCTCCATTAATAAACTGTAAAGGTAACAATTGCTACACGTCACTTCGTATGTGGCAACAGTTTAAATTGTTCTTCTCAGACTTACAGATTAAATTTAAATACAAAATAACTGCATGTGGCTTGAACTTGATTTATGCCGTCTTATTTCATTGAAAAATCTAAAATTTGTTCTTGAAATCCTGACATGCCTGGATGCCGTATTCGAAATAGTGCGGAAAAACAATTTGTCTCATTCAACAAACAAACAGCCACATCGTACCACGTGCAGCATGTGTCCTGCCTCGCCACAAGCGCCACAAAACAAACCAAAACGCTCTTGAGATCATTCGTGAACGTATCGCTATTAGCTGACCCGCTCCTTCGCGTCGTCTGCTATTTTATTTTGTTTACCTGATGGATTGTTAGTGACCGATAGCGAAGTGTCAAATATTAAACAGCAGCAAAGAGAGAATTACCCTGACAAGAAAGAAGTGTCCTTAAAAATAAAAGGAAGTGTGCATTCCATCATCAAGTGCCATATGCTTGCATTCGAATTTTAGGCCGAAATAGAACGTATTTTCGCACAATGACATTGTTCAGCAATGCAAAATTGCCCGTTCTGTACGGCTTGTAGGAAATCGGCAGGGTTCACTACTGATTAAAATTAATAATGTATCGATAAAACCTCGTGAAAAAGAATAGTCAATATGAACATCATATCGTCCTCTAAAAATAAAGTGTCCAACGTTGACAAACCTCTCATCAAGCCTCGAAGCGACGTAAATATCTAGGACCTGATTTTGTACTATTTATCCTTAAATAATGTAAAAAATCTTCTAAATTAGGAATTAGTTGTAGTTGCTTCATATATGCTTATATAGCTCGTTGGATCTTCTGACTAGGCCGAATCGTACAACGAATAATTCAAGAAACCTAGTGGGAAATTTTAAAGAATATATCGGATGCGCTTATTGTGGCGATGGAAAAATTCTAGCAACGTATGCACTGAACACTAGTATCATAATTTCCATCTTATCGCAAACCAACAAACCCATTCTTAGCGTTACCAGATAAAATGGCCTTTTATCGAGTACAATTATCTTATTGCAGATACATATATCTCTCTATGGCTTGCTATTTTCTGAAGTCGTACAATACTGTCAAAATCGAGCCTCTTCTGTCAGCGAAATTCAGGCTAAACTCGCCGATCTAGGCCAGCATATTGGTCAGCGCGTCATGGATGTACAGGTAATTTGAGACATAGACAATCGTAAGTTACTTTGTACGATACCGTTTTTATTACCATGTAAGCCACTTATATTGTGATAAAATACTGTTATAAACCCAAAGTCCACCAATTGAAGTCCTCGGCACTATACGACCCTCTGTAATATAACATTGTTCTTGACTTGGAATTATTCAGGCTGTTCGCGACAAAAACTTTAAACGTGAGACGAAACTCATACAGATGCTAATTATGATAAAGAGTACCATCTGGAAAAACCTATTTGGAAAGGAGGCTGACAAACTGGAACAGGCTAATGGAGACGATAAGTGAGTATTTTTTAAATAAGGTGATTGTTATATTTTTTGGAGGCAAGTAGAATGTCAGTCTATAAACTAACGCATGCGTTGTTATCGTAGTAGTATAGATATCTGTGCGTAACATATATAGCTCCGGTTACTTGGAAGGGGACGAAAGGATCATTATTTATTATGCGTTACGTTTTCTTCGTGCAGCCGTGAGGTATAGACTTTTTGTAACCGGGTTAGCCAACGCCGTCCAAATCACCGCGTCGACGAAGTATACAAATCTAGTTCTAAAATATCCATTTCATAACAAATACGCTTTATACGTTAGTAGATCTCACTTTCTACATTTGCTATCAGAATAAAGGTCAATCAATAAATTAAGCATATCTTATTACTCTACGTGAATGCAATAATTAACTCAACTGGTTTATGCGTCCTGTTTGGTCTCCGATGCTTAGAACGTATTATATCGTGGACGGGGAACCACTGGTGAATCGTTTCATCTCAATGCCGAAAGACCTTTCAAGCCTCAATTGTGCCTATTTCATGGCTGGCATTGTTGAAGCAATTATGGTCGGCGCTAATTTTGTAAGTCGAATATATTAAATGAATTGTTACATATTTAATAGTGTTTTATTGTAAATGTATAGCATGTATTGTAGTCATTTATACGTATGATATACTGGATACTTGTCTACGCAAGGATGTGCTTTGGTCAACCGGTTTTATTTGGGGTGCCTTTCTTCATCAATGGCATTAAGTTTCGTTAATAGAAAAGCCAAATAGAGTAGGGACACGAATACTTGCTAGGTTCATATTAATATTTTTAATCAAATTTCAATAGATGTCCATTGTGAAACTTGATGGTTTACAAAAATCTTTGCTACTGCATGCAGTTATTTCGGTTACGACAAGATTTTAACAATAAGTATCTCTTGTGATCATCTTTATTGGTCTTACCTTTATTCAACCTGTTCCAGCCGTGTAAGGTAACAGCGTTATGGCACGACGGAGGAACGACATTCATCATTAAATTAGCATGAACGAGAAATTCAAACAATTAAATAATATAGTTATCAAATGATTATACGTAAAAACATAGATACTACCTTGTTCATATAGCTACTATATGCAAATATTAATAAAGGCAATTATGTATTTAGTTCGGACGAATTCTTTTTTAAAAAGTTGTGTTATTTTTTCTGTTTTAAACAAAAAGAACACTAGTGAGTTTAAAAAGCGAAGTACAATTATGCCCAAATATGTGCAGGAGGTTGACGAAGTTACCTAACAGCACACGTACATCAACGAGTAATTTTTTGCGAAACTGAGATCCAGTGAGCTGAGGATGGTACAGTAATGGTGCGATTACTCTGAACAATATTGCAGTTCTGTGGGAAACTATTACTGGAGTGCAATGGAGGAGAAACAGTGTTGTTGTTTAGCGTCTAAGAAACAACTCAGTCCGTATTAACAAATCCTCCAGAACGCAAAAACGAATTTCGGCATTTTTCTGTTTTGCATGGCAAGGGAATTTGCATGCCTCTCCCGAAACAGACACAAAATATAGGTAGCAGTGAACCAGACGCCGATGTAGTCATAAATAGAGAAATGACCACGTTTGCCCACAAACTTTTGGACACTTGTGAAGGGTGTATTACATAACGGGAGTAGATTCATTGCTCACTCGAAGGGTCAGCGGCGGAATACAATGCCTCAAGCCGGTTCCTTTGCACTCTATTGATGTAGGTTTCTATTGATCTTTGCCGAGATCTGCTTGGGTTGTCTAATAAACGATTAACGATTCGAAGTCTCAATATAAAACGTGAACGGATTTGGGTGCTTCTTTTCCGGCTAGTCGGTCACTTAACGACAACCTATTGAAAATCCGTATAATGGTCCGAATTGTCCGTCCGTACAATAGGCAACTTAAAAATGGATTGCATAATTTTTACTTTTTTAGACGTCGCAATTTCAGGAGCCTTGAATAATATATTTATCAAGTAGGAAAAGCCTGCGAAGGAAAACACGAGTTGACACACCACTTTGTGAACAGTTAACTTTTCTTACTATATCAAAACAGCAGGGTTAGTGTAGCAAAATTACTTCATTGTTTAGTCTGACTTAAAATAATTTATTTATTGTCTATTTCAAAATAACGTTTTACGTGCATATCTGTTAGGTTTGAATATTGTGCATCCTCATGAAGGTTATCAATTGGAAGTAGCTGGAAAAAAATTAGAATTTTGCTTAGCGGACGCTTATCGGAAGATTGTCGAGATCACTTTGTAGATATTAAAGGCTTATAAAAAAAAAAAACTGAAAATATTTAGAGCAAACGCTTTACTAAGGCGTTTCAACCAATTTTAGTATTCGCATAAAAAGTCTTGTCTTCTAGTTAAGCACTCATTTATATTTAATTTTGGTAAACACAAGTTAATTTTGGTGAGCGCGCGTTTCCTTGAGGGACTGAGATGTAATCCTGTGGCGAAAACCAAATTCATGTTAGGACATATTATACAGTTACTGCAGTTACTCGGTAAGTTGAACTCATCCATAGACAACTGGTTTTTTAAGTAGTATAAAATTCTAGATTTGGCCGCGCGCAACGCTTTCTTGGAGAAGCCTCTTGAAAATGAATGCAGATTCGAGAAAAGTTACTTAGGCTTCTCTGGAACGAAGCGATATGCGAAGCCAATCATTTTCTAATTCATTTCCTAGAAACTACTAAATCGATTGCCTGAAAAAAAATCATGAATAAAAAACCTAATCTAATCGAATCCTAAAGGCTACTGGGTGAGAACGCTCTTCTAAGTAACTTTCTTTCGCGCTATAAACAGACGAACATGAAGTTTTGTAATACACTAGTTATTTATACAATGTATGAAAACAAGTAGCAAAAAATATTGAGAATTTTATAGTTACCAGGTAGGTTACATATAAAGCCCAACTCTTTCTCGCATAGAGGATCTTTGTCTGATATCTTATTACGCCTTTTTTCTCGTAATATGATTGAGCACTGAACCATATATGTCAAGAGAATACCCATACATCAGCTATGGTGCGGCGGTTAGTACATAGTGGCCGCCTGTTTATAGATATTACAACACAAAATTATTAAAATAAATATCTTTATATAAATGTAACGAATACTACTCATAAGGCAAAACTCAAACAAAACATTTCCTTTAGAACTTTGACAATGATTTCACCTAAAATGTACAACGTAGCCAACAATAATAATAAAACAACGGAATAATTTGCCATCGTTTTTCTATTACGTGTGCAATACGCATAAATGATACGTCTATGCAACTAGGGGCATTCTAAGTGGTAGCCATAAAAATAAGTCAGCTTGGACTAGCGGATACGGAAGTAAGTCTTCTTCTTTACTGATGATACTATACCTGCATTGTAATGTATCGGATTATCATTTGTGAGTCTGGTGAATGTAGGGAGTAGAGTAAGTTGCGATTTCAGGGATACATAGGATTTTCCGTAGTTATTTCTAGCTTTAGTGTCGCAGAACTGGACAGCTGATAACTTTTAAAAGAAAAAACGCGCTCCGTGTCTCATATCTAATGCTTGATTGGTTAGGTATTGCTTCAGAAGATTAACTCTTAGAATGAAGCGATTTTACGGATTTAAATCTAAAACCTGTCTTCAAGTTTAGAGGACAAGCACGTTATCCACTACGCTATTGCAGGGATAGACTCTGACTTTTAGGACCCATCAAAATGGATGTTAATTTAGTGCTACTGATCTCCTTATATTGCTGTTGAGGCAAGCGCACGATTTGTGTAATAGTGTTAATATTATTTCTGAATTTTATTTGATTACCGAATTACGGATCTTTGCCATAACAAATATATTATTTCTGTATCTGTGGGCTAGCCTTGGGATTATATTTAGGTTGCTAACGCGTATACGGTAACGAAAAACGGAATCCACGATAGGGTCAATAATTTTCGTGTGGCTTGATTGAGTGGGTTCCAAAATATTTCTATTATTTTTTTTATAATCGGTTTTGTATTATTATTATTGTTGTTATTATTACGCGTTTGATAATGTCCCATGTGCTTTTTAATATATTTATGTCCTGTTGACACGATAATAACTGCAATGATAGGTATGATTATGGCATTATAAATGTTAAAAGCAAAAGCAGAACCTTTTTAAATAAATAAAACATTACAAAGTTGTACGTAAGGCCCAGGCTTTTGTGCGATTTATATGAGATTTTACGGTTTATGTTCTCATCATTTATCGGGTAAGAAAATCGGGTAGCGGTGTATACTACGGGCCAAAATAAGAATGATAATATTTAAAAGTTAGCTTCAGGAAGTCGAGATACTAGTTTTGGAGGACCTGTGCAAACGGATTAGTAGCCCAGTACGGGCTAGTAAGTAAAGTTCTACCCCAATAAAGCCGTTTACTGTGTAGACTAACACTGGACATTTTAGTATTAAATTACAAAAATTGTCTATGACTTCCACTGAATCGGCCAGCAAACTGCTGCTTGTAGTTCAGGCCTTGTTTCATATATAAATGTACATACACATGAAGCTGCTTTTGGTTGAACTACCACCAGCTAGAATTGACCGATGGACCTGGCGCATCCGTGGGAGGTGAAGCTCTCGAAAAAAGAGCGCGCAAGAACGTCGCAGTCGTCTTCCGATTGTCGCAGTTCTCGTAGCCGCCGTACGAACTACAGAGGTTAGCAACACCCGACGAGATCTCCGTCATCTGACGATCATTAATCATTTCTTGGAGCGAGAAGCGGAGAGCGGGCACCGCAGCCTGATCCGGATCTTCCTCTGTTCCTCCTTAAGCCAGAGAGTTGACTTCATAGGCCCCTCTCTCACCTTTGGCTACAGCAGTACTTGTTCAACTCTCTTGGTCTTTATTCATTCGGTTAATGCTGTTGTGCTGCAGGCATTGAGGGCCGAGCAACGCTGCCGGTTCTGAAGTTCTGAAGTCACACGGATCACTCATGCTGAGTGGCCAACCGGCGTTATCGCAGTAACGTCAATCAGAACGAGCTCTCACATGGGATCCGGATAGGACGATGGTCTGAGGGACTTACTTGAGTATGAACTACGGCTGATAATAGCTTGATCGTTTTATAGGCGAGAGTACTATGGTATAAGTATTGCGGTGCTCTCAATTGACAAGATAGCCAATAACGACATCTAAACTTCGGAGCGACCGAACTCGCCTTGGCCACGCCTGGCAGGAAGAGGTTTTTTGAGGAGTCACTATGTTGTCAGGACATGCTCTCACCTAGCATCTTGAGCTTCCACCACATCGATCAACGCTACAGTAAGTTACGCAGGCGGTGTGGGCTCCAGCCGCTCAATTTGGGTGGCGAGTCTCTCGTCATAATTCGAGTATAGACTATGATGCACTACTATTTCATTCAGAAATATCTCGGACACCTCGAACGAATATGAATGAATGAACAATTGCGACTGTGTGTTGCAGGTATATAATCAATCGTTGCAGGTCACGGACCTCGGTGAGATGTGGCGTATCCGAAAAATCGGCAGGGTTCAGGTAGATTTTCGTCAGCCGATGCCACAGCCTCAGATTTTGCTAAGCACCTCATTCAGAAGCAGTTCCGCTACTTTAGATGTAACAAACATTGTAATGTTTAATAATTGTAGGAAAACATAAAAGTGAAATTAATTATAGCAAACGAGATTATGCAGAAATCACAGCACATTGTACCGTTGTTTTAATCGCATTGAAATCGCGACATTCTGCGTTAGGTTTGCATTTTGTTTGTACATTTTTCACTATTATTGCAATTACGAGCTGTCTAAAAGAGGGTGTTTCTTTGGATTGGTCCTACGCCGAGATATCATTGCTGGTCTAAGGAACATATCCTTCCAAGGTTCCGATAAAACGCAAAGTTATCTTCTTCGTATAACATAACCCTGAAAACATGTTTAATCATAGAATGTGCGATAAAGGAGAGCGCACCAAAAAATCAATCCGGAAGTCGTTCTGCGAAACATGTCTTTTTTAAAAGCGACTCGTGAGTAGTCCCGTTATTTTTTTACTCCTCTTAAGGTGGTAAAAGAACTGTTCATTTATTGTATAAAGCCCGATGTATTAGTGCGGGTTTTTAACGCGATCAAAAAATGTCTAAAGACTAGGT